TTTTTTCACATCTTACATATTTAGTAAAGTAATAATAACTGCCACATGAATAGATGATGCGTATGCAACTGCAGTAGAGTATATGTAAAATGTCACCAAGTTTTAAGAAGGTCAACCTGTGTTTTTTATAGATCAAGACATGGATGCTGAGAAAATGTAGAAATTATTTTAGCTTAGGTCAGATTTATGACATGACCGCAATGCTATCCAATAAAAGGGTTGATTAACATCTGGAATTCACGCAGCGGAAGAGTAAACGGTAAAGTGATGAGAAACTGATCACCTCAATTTTTTTTCTCGCAACCACCCATTGATAAATTCACTCATTTTCCCTGAAAGCAATGTGTCCGTTTCCCTGTAATATACACTACATGATGAATAGTGAGTTGGGAATTTAAATATTATTGGCCGTATTGATATGGCCGGCGTTCTTTTGCCTTGTTCCCTGGCTCATCCACGCCAAAGGTCACACAGAACACTAAGCAAATTAGGGAAAGGAAACCAAGCTAGATGATCTCTCAGTTTTGTGGACACAAGTACTTTAAGAATGTTTCAAAAGTGTACTTTTATGGACGATTCGATACAAAAAAGACTGCTTAGTGCTGGAACTGAACTACAAATTCAAGTCCAAATCTTGAACAAACAAGGTAAATATACAATTTTATATATGTCACGATATATGTATTTTAAGCAGTATCTGCATTTGAATTTGTTCCTGATCTACAATTCCATTGCGCAGCATAAGGATTTCGGAACTTGGTTGCTTTCTTTATTACGTGAAATAATTGAAGCTGAAATGTTAAACTTTAACCAATATTTAGGTTGCAGTAAAAACTATCTGCATATGCTCTCAGTTACCTCTCTCACTTCCCCTTAAAAAATGTCCATGATGGACCTAGAGGGTATCAGTAATACATGTACAATACAAATATAATACTATAGTAAGTGCATTTAACTTTTTTTTGATTATCTTATGTAGACCCATATCACGAATGAGCATTATTCTCAGAAACATGTATAAATGTATGTGTGTATATGAGTGTGTGTTGGGGGGTGGGGATTTTTAGAAGAATGCAATTTCCATGCAATATAAACAGAAAGACTGTTTTACAAAAATTCGGGAGCAGGCACCTGCTGATCTACTCTAGTGCGCAATATTAAACCAGTCATATCTGTCATGAAATCATATATAAATGCCTAAGGCTTTGGAAAATTAAAGTTTATGAGACTTAAAATTTTCATCCATAGGTCGACTATGGATTGGTTCAGAATAGGATTGCCAGATTTCCTTTGGAAAATGCACTCTACAATCTGTCTAGTGTATCAGCCAAGAGAAAAGCATAGTATTGGAACTTCGGTCAAAGATATTAAAGGAGGACGATGTTTAAATAAAGAAAGTGTAACGGGGCACAAAGAAATCTTATACCTTTAACAGAGAAAGAAAGATGTCAGAGGGTTTTGTTTTTGTATGTTTTTCTATGTTCAGAAGGTTTAATATTATGTTAACTTTAATATTCAGCTTTTCCAGCTTGCATGATATTAAGATAAAGGTATCGTTTGTAATATAAAAATAATATATTATTGATATTCTTTGATATGAAATTTACCCCGAGTCTTTTTGTCATCAAGATGTAATGCATGCTTTTTCTGTAAACAATATATACAGAATTAGTTTATTTTATGAGAGGAAATTTACCTTGAAAAGTTCTGCTTTTTTCAAAAAGTAATATTTGTTTTATTCTGTGAATTATATAAACTGCAGCAGTGATATTCTTTGTGTGTGTGTATGGGGGGGGGGGGGGTTATCCCGTAAAGTCTTGCTATCATCGAGTTGCAGTGTTTGTTCATGCTTTGAATAACATAAACTGTATTATTGATAGTCTTTGGGAGGTATTTACCCCGTACATACTTGCTATTGTCAAAGTTTAATGTTTCTTTTTTTTAAGTTTGATGTAAACTGTATTAGTAATATTTTTTAGAGGAAATTTTCCCCGTAAATTTTTACTACCTCCAAGATATTGCAAAGCATAAATTCTGAATCAGTGATATTCTTGCGGGGGGGGGGGGGGGGTTACCCCGTAAAGTCTTGCCATCTTAAAGATGGGTGTTTTTGCTTTGAAATACTGTATATAAACTGTATCAATGTAATTTTTAATAGGAAAATTACCTTATAGATTGTAACCATCTTATAGATGTTTGCGAATCAAAGATACTGTTTCAGTGATTTTCTTTGGGGGGAAATTTACCCCGTAAAGTCTTGCTATCATCAAGATGGTTGCATTTGCTTTCAACACTGTATATAAACTGAATCAATGTCATTTTTGAGAGGAAATTTACCCTGTAGAGTTCTGCGATTTTCAAAGTGTACTATTCGCTTTTTATAAGAGTAATGAATACTGTATCAGTGATACCTTCTTTGGGGGGAAATTTACCCCGTAAAGTCTTACTATCTAAAGGATTGGTGGTTTTGCTTTGAATTAATATATGGAAACTGTATCGATGTTATTTTTGAGAGGCAGTTTACCCCGTTGCTATCTTTAAGATGTTGTGAATCATAAAAACTATATCAGTTATTTTCTTTGGGGGGAAATTTACCCCGTAAAGTCTTGCTATCTAAACGATGAATGTTTTTGCTTTTAATACTGTATATAAACTGTATCAATATCATCTCTGAGAGGAAATTTACCCTGTAGAGTTCTGCGATTTTTCAAAGTGTAATGTTCGCTTTTTCTACGTATAAGATAAACTGTATCAATAATTATTTTAAGAGGAAATTTACCCTGTAGATTTTTGTTACCGCCAAGATATTGTGAAGCATAAATTCTGTATGAGTGATATTCTTTTGGGGGAAATTTACCCCGTAAAGTTTTGCTATCTAAAATATGGTTGTTTTTGCTTTGAAATACTGTGTATAAACTACATCAATGTCATTTTTGAGAGAAAAATTACTCTATAGATTGTTGCCTTCTTCACGATGTTTGCAATCATAAATACTGTATTATTGACTTTATTTGGGGGGAAATTTACCCCGTAAAGTCTTGCTATCATCAAGATGGTTGCATTTGCTTTCAAACACTGTATATAAACTAAATCAATGTTTTTTTGAGAGGAAATTTACCCTGTAGAATTCTGTAATTTTTAAAGTGTAATGTTCGCTTTTATAAGAGTAGTGAATACTGTATCAGCTAGAGATATTCTTTGGGGGGAAATTTACCCCGTAAAATCTTGCTTTCTACAAGATTGGTGTTTTGCTTAGAAATACTGCACTAGTGTATAAAATGTATCAATATGAATTTTGAGAGAAAAATTACTATATAGATTGTTGCCATCTTCACGATGTTTGCGAATCATAAATACTGTATTAGTGCTTTTCTTTGGGGGGAAATTTACCCCGTTAATCTTGCTATCATCAAGATGGTTGCCTTTGCTTTCAAACACTGTACATAAACTGAATCAATGTCATTTTTGAGAGGAAATTTACCCTGTAGAGTTCTGTAATGTTCGCTTTTTATAAGAGTAGGGAATACTGTAACAATGATATTCTTTGGGGGAAATTTACCCCGTAAAGTCTTGCTATCTAAAAGATTGTTGCTTTTGTTTTGAATTACTGTAAATACACTGTTTCAATGTCATTTTTGAGAGGAAATTTACCCTGTATGTTTTTTGCTATCTTTAAGATGTGAATCAATGATTTTCTTTCGGGTGAAATTTACCCCGTAAAGTCTTGCAAAATTGTCAATAGTTCCTCTAAATATTGACATTTTAGTTTATTTGTGACACTAGATCGTGTTTCTATTAGAAAAACGCTGATATTTCACAATCTTATGAATAAATATCTTATAAAACTGTGTTCTTTTGTTAGATTTTGTCAATACCTGAGGGCAGAATGCCTAAAACAGAAAAAAAGATTTTCTGTTTTGATTTTGGAATGCGTTACTAGTTCTTTTTATGGCTTGTTATGGAATTCTTGGTGGTGCCCCCTCCCCAACTGAAAATATATGATTGTACTCTCTCCTCTAAACTGAAATTGCTTCCTTCAGGTCTGATAAATACAAATGAATAAGTAATGTTGAATTTAATTTAATATTACAAAATATTAATAGATGGGGTTAAGTCAGACATAGGTGTGAGCAAGTGTCATGTGGCTGTGGGTAAATACATTGTAGAGGCTAGTCCTTACTTTGCAAATTCATCTTTTCAAAAGTTGTGGCTTTGTGTTGGGTCAACCAAATGGTCAAAAGGATCAAAAGAAATGATTTAGGGTGCAACAATGTATATTGTGATGCAGTGGGGGATACACATGATATGATAAATCAATACATAAATATAAGGGTATTTGCAAAGACAAAATAGCAAAACTTATTTTGAATATAGAAATCTTTTTTGTAAGAATTAAAAAAAAAAGTGAAAATATTCATTTTGGTTTATTTTTGGTTAAAAAGTAGGCTACTAAATAGACTAGGTCTATAATAGAAAAAGATTTTTTAAACATGTTAAAAAAAGTGTCATAATTTAATCTATATTTCCCTTCCTTAAAGATGTAGAAACTTCATGTTGTATTGCACCCCCCCCCCCCCAATTTGGCGGGTTTTTTTTTTCAATTCAAAAGGGCGTACTGTCATTATTTTTTTTTTTCAATGCCCCATGTTCTTGGGAAATCAAAATACAAGAAGCAAAGACCTTTTTCCTGTAAAACATGTTAAAAGACAAAAGTTGCAAAGGGTTCGCTACATAGACCTATAGGCCTAGATTAATCTCAGCGAGATTCGTAGAGACTAAAAGTGTTGGTACGGTGTCTCTGCGGTCACCAAACCAAAATTTTTAGTCTCTACGAAGCTCGCTGAGATAAGGCCTAGATGGGAATTGAGAAAGATGGCGACCAAGGGACAAAACTTTTGAAAAGCGTGGCTTCAACTTTCCTCGAGTTAGTACCTAGTAAGGAGGATGAGAACGATTAAAACGAGCCCCCTTTTCAATCAGCTGTTAAAACATTTTCTTACCTTCTACTGGACTGTTGACAAATGTTGCAGAAAGGTATGCCTGCGCCTTTGACCCATGGTACTGGTGTCCATCCACGTGACCGTTCTGAAGCTTCCTCTTATCACGTGACTTCACAATGGGTACGGATAACAGAGACATTAAACAGATAGGCCTATGTATCCTACAGAGTGCAATTAAAGATGACCCATAATTTTGTGGGTATTTCATTAGGAAGTGTTAATTTATCACGCAGAGATATTCATGTTGTATTGTTTCATCGATAATACCACTACTCAGAGAAGCAGCGAGGATTTTTTTTTTTGGGGGGGGGGGGGGGGGGTGGGGGGTCCTTTATACCAGTCTGTTATACTGCACCGTGCTACATCTGCAGTTTTTTTTTATTTTCTCTGCATGACGTGAACGTCCTACTTTTATAAAATAACAAATGTAGAAATTTTTATGGTTTATAATTAAAAAAATATGTATATTATTTCTATCACAGTTAAATCTATAAGCCACCAACAGCTGATTAGCCTTTAATCATTTATATTAATTTGTAATTTTTTAATTATTATAACTTATCTGAACAAATTATACGTATAGAGGAGTTTTAAAAAATACATGTACAATATTTATTATTTTTATAAATAATATACGGTCTATGTTTTAAGTACAACCATATACTAAATGTTAGGACCTATATAATTTATGCAATATGGATCTATAATGAATACAATTAACTTAAATCCTGATTTAAGCTTTAAATTGATAATGTGTTTGATGCACATGAAATATTTCTACTGATTCTGATTTAAGTATTGTGCATGGATATACGTAAGAGCTTGAAAAAAAAAATCAAACTGATTGTATTTTAAATATAGAAGACTAAAATAATTTAAAAAAAAAAAAAAAAGGTATAAATTCATATAGAGCAATATTACGAATCATATGTGTTCGTTTTTTTTCATTTTATATATATATATATATATATATATATATATATATATATATATATATATATATATATATATATATATATATATATATATATATATATATATATATATAATGATTTTTTTAAAAGTAATCCGCGCACAATACGTTCAGTGCGAAAGAGAGCGAGGCTTTCCGTATTGCGTCTGGTGTTACTGTTCTGAACGCTAACCCCAATAGTATATGGTATAATGGTAATACCACAGACAGCATTGAGAGCTGTAACCCCGTTAACTTTTTTGTCGGTTCAGAGCTGTAACTCTGTTTGTATCAGGTGAAAATCCTTATCCTTAGCTACTATAGTATGTATTTTACTACATTAATTCAGTTTTACTCAAACATGATTGATAAACACTTTGTGTTTGTTTTCAGCTTAACGTGTCTCTTATTATCCTTTAAAAGTGTTACATATATCAACGATTATACCAGACAACCGTTGTATATTCTTTGTGGCATTTCTTTAGAGCACAAATAGCTTTAATTAAAAATTAAACCAAAAGTTTTCAGAACTTCTTGAAAAATTCATAGTAAAATTTTCCCAAAATTTTAAAGAAGAGCCTATATTGGTTATTTTTATTCCATTAACGTACATATATTAGTTTCTTATACAAAATGTCAACGTCACGACGTTAAAGTATGTAACGTCAACGTAATGACGTGATAGTATTATTAAGAAAAACAATACCAAATTTAAACGTATGTAAAAAGAAAACCAGAAAAGATATTGTTAAAGAATAAATTGTTTTACAACATATAAATCTTAGAATTTTATGTGAGAAAGTTTCATTTATTTTGATGACTGGGCCGATTTAGCCCCTTCGTGGATTTAGCTCTTTCCTCAATATCTTGTAACTGTTGTTTTGTCTCCTGAACAAGAAGGTGCCTATGTACATTGCAACAAGAAAACTTGCTAGGCCCACCAGACTTAGGATTCCAATTCGAAATTGTTCACTTCTCTTTTGACTTTCATTCTTAACAATAATATCGAGAAAGTTGACTTCCACTGATTTTCCCGTTGTTACTTTACTCTCATTCATTTCTTCTTTCGTATAGAAAGAACCTCTGGAGTGAAATTTCGGTTCAGTTTTATCGGTTGTTACCTCAATTCCTGAATCTTAAAAAAATGACACAACCAGCATTAGTCTCTTAGCATAAAATACAAAAATGTATTCCCCCTGTCCATAAAAAGTATGTATATATTAACATTTGCATTGATTTCTACTAAACCCACCATGAAATTGATTTGAATTCCATTTTCTTGTATTGACATTCGTCGAAATAAAGATGGAGACCACAGAGTGACGTCAAAGTGAGGCAAACGAGATTGTAACGAAACTATAACGATATTGTGCAGCATAAAAAAAATAATTATGATAAATAAATAAATAGGTATATTTTTTTGTTTAAAACATATTAAATGTAAATAAAAGAATTTTAAATTTGGTTTGTAGAGAGATTCACCAAATATGCCTACGTGACAACCTGTGTGATTAACACACCAATAACACTAAAAAAAACTTTAAATAATCAAAAACATTCACTTTGTAATCAATACGAAGAGACAAACACCTTTTGACGTAGGGAGAATATAATTATATGAATATCTGTCAATTAACATACTTGGCAAATTATATTGGAAGCAACCTTTGGCATAATGACAGCTGCTTTTATCACAGATGCATAGGCCCTGGCAGAAACGTCCAAAGGTTGGATAAGGACACTCTAATTCGCAATGTTGTCCAAAACGCCCTATTTTACACTCTAGATTAATGAAAAATTAAAAGCAAATTTATCTTATAGTTGACCTTTACCACATTACACCTTTAATTGAATGAATAGTTTTTAAATTAAATTAAAAAAAAATAAATGGATGGTTTTAATTAAAAGGATATTGTTGTACATTCTGTACACTCTCCAGAAAATATGAATGTACAACATTTTTTTTTCTTCATTTCTTAAAATTAAAGAATATGATCAAATCAAAAAAAAAAAAAAAAAAAAAAAAATAATAATAATAATAATAATAATAATAATAATGTCACCTACCGACACAAATTTCATTCTTGGTTTCAAACATATAACCAGAACAGCATTTAGGTGGACTATAGATATAAATTAATGATTTCATATAAAATATGATTCCTCTCTACATTTCTTCAGACTTTTAAACATAATGATAATGCTATGCACGAATGATAAAAGAAGCATACTTATCACACAATTTTTGTGAATGACATGTCACCAACAGCATTAAATAAGAAGGTAAAACATATGATATGATTCGTTCTTCCTCCATCGTTAATGTTTAATCTGTGATTATGGAGAGTGTTGGATTTTTTCAGAATATGTAAATGCCCTATTTGAATTCAATAATAGTTGCACTTAAACAACCGGAAGAAATGTCTGTATCAACACAGGAAAGCAACAAGTGCTTTAACGATGATATAACTATTCAATGATATACCTTTATATTTTAATTAGTCTATATATATATATATATATATATATATATATATATATATATATATATATATATATATATATATATATATATATATATATATATATATATATATATATATATATATATATATATTCATGAAAGAACATCAAAATATGTTAGAGTTAGTGTTCTTGATACCTTGGATACAAGAAATCTATTATTTGCCGCACATGTCACTCTGACCACAATAGGTAACTTAAAATGTATACACGTACATATGTTTGGATCTTATATGTGTTCCACATTGTGATCTTCTGAATAAGATCCGGAGGATTAATTGAAATTTTTCAAAATCTATATATAACCACAGGTATGTTGTTGTGATCGGAAATTTTTCAATTCTATTTATAAACATTAAATTCTTAGTTGAAAATTTTTTTAGCTTATTTTCACTTCTATCACTTTATAGGTATTTTTTTTTTCAATTTTAGATTGATATATTCCTTAGTAATATATATATATATATATATATATATATATATATATATATATATATATATATATATATATATATATATATATATATATATATATATATATATATACATACACACACCCTCACACACACACACACACCCTCACACACACACACACACACACACATACGTGTATGGACTCCGATCTGGGGACTCTGTCATAAAAACTTAAAATGGGGACTAAGCGATTTCATGACATATTTGGTATTGTTTAACTCATTTTACTTCGTAGGTATCCTGGTTTAAGTAGATGGAGTGAGTCTTTGAGATTGAATGATATTTCCATGAATTTAGAAAATGGGGACCCGGACGTGCCAATCTGAGGACTCTGTGTAAAATTAGGGGACCCATCTTCTCATAAGCAAACAGAATTGGGGACCTAAATTCAGTCCCTCATACACAAACAGAGAAAAATGGGGACCCTAATTTATAAATCAAAATTTGGGTTGGGTAGACTTATGAAACGCACGGTGTTTATTTATTTGGTGTCTGTTTTCGTGCCATATATGGCCATAGATATACATGTTTTTGTTATACACTGAATTTCGGTAATTTGGTTGACTTGTACATACAGGCCTTTTATAACTCCAAATTAGCATCTTGTGGCATAGCTTGGGGTCGATCAATGTGGAAGCATAAAATGGCGGGGAGGGGGGGGGAGCATAAGGCCCCGATGGGACCAAGCCGAAGTCCAGGGGACTCTGGGTACGAAGCCCCTGGAAGCTAGTGCATTTTAGATAAGTGATGATAGACTTAAAAAGATTTATAACATTTTAAACCATAAAATGTTAAATGCTAATCAATACTTTTTTTTCTAAATACCTTTTGTAGTTATTATTAATGATATATATTGTCATAAATGCGTTTTCAGCGAGAAAAAAAATCTTGGTTCTCCCTGATGTCCTTATTATTAGACTGCATGTTATAGGCCTATATGCAATTTACATGTATTCAATATTACACTAAGTATGTATTATCCTTTATATACATGTAATGCTTTTGAAATTTCAATCATACATGCATGTTTTCATGAACTCGAGTCTTATAAATTGTATATAGAAATGATATTCATAAATTAATATAAATTGAAAAATTAAAACATTAAACAAATAATGCCAAATTTTACTACAGTTCAGTGTTCAGTATTTTCTTCGGAGAGTGTTTTAAATTTATTTTTGAAAAGCATT